GACAAAGGCTCAGCCTCTGGAAGACCTGGCTGGCTTTCAGGAACTTTTCCAAACACCAGCCCATGCCAAGGACTCAGTGACTGAAGAAGGAACCCTCCAAACTCCCCGTGGATCTTTACAGTCAGGACCAGTAGATACTTCAGCGACCTCAAGGAGACGTTCTAAGATAAGTCTTAGAAAACCAGATGGGAAGGAAGAGCTCTCAACATCCAGAAAACAAACACAGTCACCAAGCAGAGCCACGTACACACCTACAGTACCAATTGAAGAGAAGAAAGGCATCAGAGCCTCTATGCAAACTCCAAAGCAGGAACTGGACCTGATAGAGAGTGTAACTGAACTTAAAAGACCAGCACGAACTCCTAAGGCAAAGATCCAGCCTGTAGAAGACCTGGCTGGTTTCCAAGAGCTCTTCCAAACACCAGTGACTGCAGAAGAAACACCAAAAACACCCTTCAGATCTCCACAACCAATGCCAGTGGGCACACCAACGACCTCAAAGAGACAATCTAAAATAAATACCAGGAAAGTGGATATGAAAGAAGAGCTCTCATTACACAACAAAGTAACACGATCACCAGGAAAAGCCATGCACACACCTCTGGTACCTATTCAGGAAAAAAGCATCAGAACATCTGCAGAAACTCCAAAACTGAAACTGGATGAGTCAGAAAATTTAGGTGAACTTGAAAGATGGCTGCAAACACCTAAGACAAAGGCCCAGCCTCTGGAAGACCTCGCTGGTTTCCAGGAGCTTTTCCAAACATCATATTATGCCAAGGACTCAATGACATCTGAAAAAACTCCAAAACTGTTCTGTAGATCTCCACAACTAGGACCAGTGGATTCTCCAATGTCAAAGAGATGTCGTAAGACAAGTCTAGAGAAGGAGGTTATGAAAGATCTCTCACTAGCAAGAGAGCTAACTCAAATGTCAAAGAAAACCATGTATATATCTGAAATGAAAGATGGTAGTGACAAAAGCATCTGCTGTGAGGACTCTGTAGAACAGATACCAAACCCAACCACAAATGAATCTGGTGGCAGGCGACAGCGAAGAACAACTAAAGTAAAGGCTCAGCTTCTTGAAGACTTGACTGGTTTCCAAGAGCTCTTTGAAACACCAGGTGATGCCAAGCACCCAATAACTGCTGATGAAACCACAAAAATGCCCTATATTTCTCCAAATCGAGGGCTACTCAGAATATCACCAACCTTAAACAGACATCCCAGAGCAAGTCCGGAGATACTAGACATGAAAGAAGTGCTCTCAGCCCCCATGAAACTAAGGCAGTCAGCAACCAAAGGCTTGCATATGCCTCTAGTACCAGTTCATAAGGAGAAAAGCATCAGAGCATCTACTGAAGCTCCAATGCAGAAACAAAACTTAAGAGAAAATTTAAATGGACTTAAGAGACAGCTGCGAACACCTAAGGCAAATGCCCATGTCCTAGAAGACCTGACTGGCTTCCAAGAGCTCTTTCAAACACCTTGTCATGTCAACAACCCAATAACACCTGATGAAACTACAAAAATTCCCTGTAGATTTATGCAATCAGGATCACTGAACACTCCAACAACCTCAAAGAGACGTTCTAAGACAAGTTTGGGAAAAACAGATAGGAAAGAGATGTCTTTTTTGCAGAAGCGTACACAAACAACAGAGAAAGCCATGCATACATCCAAAGTACTAGAAGGTGATGACAAAGTTTTTAAGGGTGTTGTAGAACAGACTCTGATTCCAGCAGCAACAAGCAATAAGAAGCAGTCAAGGAAATGCAAGGAAGATGTCCCACCCTTAGAAGACCTAGCTGGCTTCCAGGAACTCTTCCAAACACCAGACCATGCCAAAGACCTGATAAGTATTGATGAGACTACAAAACTGCCCTGCATATCTGTGCAAAGGGAATCCATAGACACTCCAACAAAAGTAGTGAGACGGTCTACAAGAAGTCTACAGAGAAGCAGTGTGAAAGAGCACTTGGCAGTAATAAGTTTAACGCAAATATCTGGGAAAGTTGCACACACATATGAAGAGTCCACAGATGATAAAGACAATAAAATGTTCAAGAAATCAAAGAAACGCAAACTGGACACAGCAGCAAGTGTTACTCCCAATAAGAGACCAAGAGGAGAATCTAAGAAAAACGTGCAACCCCTGGAAGACCTGACTGGCTTTAAAGAGATGTTCAAAACACCAGGTCACATTGAGGAACCAGGGAGTGATGAACAAACTACACAAATGCCAGGCAAATTACAACCAGAATCAGTAGACACTCCCAGAAGGAGAAAAGCATTGCCCAGTACTCCCCAGAGGAAAAGGGCTATAAAAGAGAAACAAGTCTTACTTACACCAAAAGCAGCAGAAGATGATGACAAAGGCATCAGCACTTTTAAGGAATCTGCAAAGCAGACACGAGACCTAGTAGCAAATGTATCTGGCAGCAGATGCACAAGAATACCTCAGATAGAGACCCAGGTTCTGGAAGACCTTACTACCTTCCAAGAGCTTTTCCAAACACCAGACTATGCCAAAGACCCAATAACAACTGATGAAACTACAAGAACACCCTGCATGTCTCTACAAGTAGGATCACTGTATACTCCAACAGCCTCAAAGAGACATTCTAAAATAAGTCTGGGAAAAACAGATGGGAATAAAGTACTATCATCAAATAGGACACAAAAGCAATCACTAGGCAGAGCCATGCACACACCTTCAGTATCAGTTCAAGAGCAGAAAGATATTAAAGCATCTACAGAAACTCCAAAGCAAAACCTGAACCCAAGAGAAAATTTAAATGGACTTAAGAGACAGCCACGAACACTTAAGGCAAAGGCCTATGTCCTAGAAGATCTGACTGGCTTCCAAGAGCTCTTTCAAACACCTGGTCATGACAGTGACCCAGTAGCCAGTTTAAATGGACTTAGGAGACAGCCACGAACACCTAAGGCAAAGGCCCAACTTCTGGAAGATCTATCTGGTTTGCAAGAGCTCTTTCAAACACCAATCAGCCATTCTAAGCACCCACCAACTGCAGATGAAACCCCTAAATCACCCCACAGATCTCCCCAGTCACCATCAATGGACACTTTAACAGCCTCAAAGAGATGTTCTAAGATAAGTTTAGGGAAAATAGATATGAAAGAAGAGCTGTCATCACTCAGAAAGCTAACACAGTCTCCAGGCAAAACTGTGCATTCACCTTTGGTACCAGTTCAAGAATGGGAAGGCATCAGAGCATCTACAGGAACTCCACAGCAAAAATTAGCCATGACAGAAAATTTAACTGACCTTAGGAGCTGTCCAAAACCACGTAAGACAAAGACCCAGCCCCTAGAAGACCTGGCTGGCTTCCAGGAGCTCTTCCAAACACCACAGCATACCAAAGACCTAGTGACTCCAGTCAGAATCCCCCAAACACCTCATAGATCTCAATCAACACCAATGGACATTGTAAAAACCTCAAAGAGATGTCCTAAAACAAGTATAGGAGAAGATGTGAAGGCAGAGCTCTCAGTGGTGAGAAAGCAAACTTTGAAGGAAACCATGCGCACACACAAAAAAGTCATAGATGACAAAGACAATAAAGTGTTAAAGGAAATTGCCAAGAGAAAACTGGACCCAGCAGAAAATGTAACTGGCACCAAGAGGCTCCGGCAAGCACCCAAGGAAAAGACTCAAACCCTAGAAGACCTAAGTGGGTTGCAAGAGCTCTTTCAAATACCAGGTCACACTGAAGAATCTATCAGTGAAGAAAAGGCCACAATAATGCCTCACAAGTCTCCACAATCTGAACCCATCAGAACTCCAACAAATACAAAGAGAGACCGCAGGACAAGACTCAGAAAAGTGAATGTGAAGGAAGATTCCTTAGCAGTGCGAAAACCAACACGAACATCAAGGGCCATTACTCAAACCTCTGATGTACCGGAAGGTGATGACAAAGGCCTTAAGCCTTTGGATGAACTTGAAAAGAAAACATTGGACCTTGCTGCAGGTGTAAGTGGCAGCAGGAGATGTCAGAGAGCAGCCAAGTTAAAAGCTCAGTCCTCACAAGATGTGACTGTCTCCAGAGAAGTAAGCCAAACAGGCCACACTGAGAAAGCAGTGAGAGATGGAAAACCTTCAAAAATCACTTGTAAATCTCCACAAGTACCAGGGGACACTTCAGCAATCTCAAAGAGACGACCCAGGACAAGATTTGGGAAGGTAGATGTGACTGAAGAGCTCTCAGCACAGAAAAAGCAAATAGGAACATCAGGGGAGACCATGGACACACATAAAGAACCCACAAGTGATAATAAGAGTGTCAGAGAATTTAAGGAATCTGCCAAGCAAAAACTGGACCAAGAAGAAAATATAACTGGCAACAAGAGGCTGAGAGGAACACGTAAAGAAAAGACCCAACTGCTGGAAGATCTGGCTGGCTCTAAAGAGCTAATCCCAAAATCAGCTCACACTGAGGAATCATTGAAGAATGAAAAAACCACAGAAATGCCCTGCAATTCATCACAGCCAGAACCAGTGGATGCTCCAGCAAACACAAAGAGGCAACTCAGGACAAGACTTGGGAATGTGAATGTGAAAGAAGGACTCTCAGTTGTGAGGAAGCCAACGCGAATGTCAAGGGTCACCACCCACACTTCTAAAATGCCAGAAGGTGATGACAAAGACATTAAAGAATCTTCAGAACAGACACTGAACCCAGCCATTACAAGCAACAGGAGGTACCTAAGAGCAACTAAGGCAAAGTCTCAGGTGAAAGACCTACCTGGCCCTAAAGAAATAAACCAAACACCAAACCATACTGAAGAGCAGATAAATGATGTTCGTAGCCCAAAGAGCACTTCACAGCAGATACCTGACAGTATCGAACCTCGGAAAACTTTGCGAAGGGCTCTTAGGGTCCATAAAGAAAAACCCATAGAAGATTTGGTGGACACCAAAGAACCTGCAGCATCACAAAATGTAAGTAACATGTTGCTAGCCCCCAAGTCAAGATCTGGAAAAAACACAGGAACTAGGGGTGTGTGTTCTGTGATGACACCACAGGAGCCAATAAAGGAGAATCGGGTCCACAGTGAGAAGAGGACTGCTCCTGGGGAGAGACAGCAATCCCCTGATCCCTTGAACATCGTGAAGAAGCGCGCAAGAATTGTTATAAACAGAATTGAACCTGTAGAAGAACAGAACAATATGAAATCTATCAAAAAGGAGCAAGACTCAGCCATTCCAATTAAGGTGATGGGAAATTTACATAATTATTGCATGTCATTTTGGATGGATGTCTTTCTTATCTGTGCAGTAATTTGTACAGGACCTGATATGTACAATTATAAATGGATAGCCTTTCTACAGGGGTTTCTTCTGAATACTACTAATAACTTTGATTAAGGGTTCTGATAAAACTTCCTGGGACATACACAGGAATTAAACCGATTTTGTAAAGGAAATAGTAAAAATAATTGCAACTTTGAGAGGTTATTATTATTGTGTTCATCTTTAAGAAATTAAACAGAAAAAAAGTGGACACTATTGATGGCTCTGTTACCAAGGCCAGGGATGGGTAGAAGTAGAATGCACGGTAGTGTTTTCATAGTGACAATAGTCTTGATAGGGTGAAAAAGAGCAGAGTTACAGCTCCCATAGCATCCAAAATTCGAGAAATGCATTCTTCTTGTTTCATTTCAACTATCATCATTAAAGGACTAAAATCATTTATCGTTTATGTAGTGGGACAGTTTTCAATAATTAGACTATAATTACTAGGTTTGATTATTTGCTCTGTGTTCAATTGGGTGATGTGTTTTACTGATTGTTGGAATTTTTGTGGATGTCACTTCATTTCTTCAGGGGATGTCCTTACGCACCAGACGCCAAAATAAAATTGACGGAAACCAGCAAAGACTTGAAATTCCTACATCAGAAAAGGCCAAAATAAAGAGACGTGAAAAGAAGACCATGCAGACATCTGAAGAGATAGAGCAAGAGAGCCCAGATGATGGAGCTGGGAAACCTACATCTGATGGCAAAGCCAGTGGAAACAGGGTTTGCTTGAGATCAGGAAGACAGAGTAAGAACTCCCAGCTTCACACAGCAGCAGAGGATGGAAAGGACAAAAGCGTGAATCTCCCTGTGAAGAATCAGAAAGAGAAAGAGGTAACCGACAATTCAGAGACTGTGAGTTTGAGACCCAGGAGAGCTAGAATTCAGCCCAAAGCAAGCACGCTGGAGAGGGACTCTGAACCAAGAACAACTCGAAGTACCAAGAGATCTGCAGAAAATTTGGAGAAGGTATGTATTTCACTGTTCTTACAAAAACAAAATACTTGGGTATATTTATGCTCACTGTTACGAAGTCAAATGAAAAACATGTAGCATCATGGTGCCAGTTCTAAGTTGTAAAAGGAGCATCACTAAGCCATGAGCTTTACTCTGATAGCTTTATTTTCTTATGTCAGTTTGGGGAATTCTACTTCAATGAATGGTTTAATGTTCTTAAAGACATGCAGAAAGACTTAGGCAATTATATGGTCACCAGTATCTCTCTACTTATCATGCAGCTTGTATGAAGATTATAGGTTATGGTTTTTTTTTTTTTTTTTTGTTTTATTTAGGACAAGGTGTACAGGTTCCCCCATGTAGATCTGACTCATAGTGATCCTCCTGTTTATAGCTTCCCAGGTGCTGGGATTGCAGGAGTGTGCTACCACGCCCAGTCTCAACCTCCATCTCAGTGCATCTCGGGAGCGGGGCTGGCACAGCAGGCCTGGGGGTTGAATTCCCGGCCCCTGCATCTGCCTAAGCAGGCGCTTTACTCCACTGAGCTATTTGGCCGGCCCTTATACGTTATGTCTTGTGTCTGTCTTCAGTTCACCAAAATGTACTAAAGCTAAAGGTGGCCTTCACTGTGTCAGAGGACTTCCTGTGGAAAGCCAGAATAAACAAGGGCTGGAGGTCCTGAGGGCAGACTGTACTGAGTTCTGCTCCATAGAAAGTACATGGGTGATTCCACTCTTCCTAACCAAGCCATGGCTAAGCTGATGAACTATATGTAATACTAAAATGAGATCAAATTTATTAGCTCATGAATTATTTATAATTTGAATAATGTATAATGCATGATTAAGTTCAATTAGCATTCTGGGGAATATATGATTTAGTTTAGTAAGATAGGTGGACAGTACCTTTTTGTGGATGCTGTATGATGGTTCTTAGCGTATAGACGTTGAACTTAAAACTCCTGTATTCTGACATCAGCCAATGAAATGAAGGTAGTAGCTGGCCCTTTGCCTACACGGTTTCGGCAAGTCCACTTGTTTAGACTGACGGTGTCTAGAACCACTCAGGAACTTGAACTGATTGACACCTCAGAGTCAGGATCCCCAGATGCCCCCACACACCGTGGTCATCAGGAGGCTAAGCAAGGAGCCCCTTCTTGCTGGCTGTAGCGGAGGTCATTGTGAGGAGAGATGGATAAAATGTTGCAGTGGATGGGAGGCAGAGTGACCTCCATGCCTGCACCAGAAATTAGGCTGGGTGGAGCCAGAGACCTCTGATGTGGCCACAGAGCCCAAGGAGACACCAGGATCTCAAACAGCTTCCTGTGGTTAGTATATACATCTCTTCTTCCAATTTAAAAAAAAAAAAAAAAAAAAAAATAGGGTCTACACACCGATTCATAGTTTGAAGACTATTATTATTATTATTATCCTTGGTAGATGAAAGTGGAGGATTAAAGCAATGTCCTTTCCACATGGGTGATTTTAAATACACAGCCACCGGGATCCAAGGGTGGCCCAGACCTAGCTGTTCTGCAAAGAGCTCTTAGCCTCTTCCCTGCAGCCACCAGCACCCAGGACTCCAAACACACACCGACAGGTTTCTCCAGGGCTGGGTACTTAGCTGGCACCACCATGTGCTTTGTCTCTGACTGTCCATAGACTCAGAAACTGTGTATGAGATTTGTATTTAATTTTTCCAGGCAAGAGTTTACAACTTTTCAGTGGTATCTTCATCCTTGGCTAAAGCAGATAAGAGTATCTG